GGATGTGTTGGCGGTAAGATTCGATGCCTTAGGTCCTCCCGGGGGATCCCTTTTATATCGCAAGTCGGCTGGTCTCCAAGTAGGACTCGTAGACATCGGACCCGGCACGATACAATGACGACCTAGTTCTGTCCGAGTAAGACTCCTTCCATCTGTGATGTATGTCGAAGGGTAGAGGGTATACCCAACCCGCAACCCTGACAGATTAGTGCCGAGTTCTGTGTAGGAGTCACAGCTTTGCAGTTCATAGGAAGTGCAATTACTTGGTTACAGTCTTCTAAGGTTCATGAGGAATTAGAGAATTGGGAGGAGTTCTCGGAAGCTGTTTGTCTAAAATTTGGTCGTGAAGAGTTTCAGAGCTTGGTCCGTCAGTTTAATCGTTTGCGTCAAGTAGGGTCGGTTAGCACCTATGCAGAGAAATTCAGTGAACTCATGCATAATCTCCATGCTCATCATTCTTCATGGAATTCAGAGTTTTTTGTTACTCAATTTTTGGATGGGCTGCGAGCAGACATTCGATCTGCCGTGGTACTCCATCGTCCTGTTGACTTGGACACTGCTGTCGATTTGGCCTGTTTACAGGAGGTGTTGGAGACCAACTGGAGGGAGGCACGCCAGGTGGATTTCTCTAGCAATGGGCGTCCTGGTGCGAAACCTAGTGTTCCTGTTCATCCGCGACCAGGAGCGGGGCCGGGTCCCCGTGTTGATGATCGCCGGCAGATGGAGGAACTGCAAACGCCGGCAGTGGATGAAAAATTGGCAGCTCTTCGTGCTTACCGCCGAGCGAAGGGGCTGTGCCATACGTGTGGAGAAAAGTGGAGTCGGGATCATAAGTGTGGGCCGACAGTGCAATTGCATGTGCTTGAAGAGCTTTGGGAGATGCTGGATGATCACATCATGGACTCGGATATTGAACCTGAAGCTGAGTCATCTGAACCTGTGCAATCTGCTGACAGTGAGCTTTGTCAGATCTCAAGGGAAGCTGTGCTGGGTTTGGAAACAACGGGAACATTGCGGTTGCAAGGATGGGTGCAGCAACATGAGGTACTCATGCTCGTGGATTCTGGTAGTACTCATAGTTTCATCTCTGAGGATATGGCGGCCCAACTGTCAGGACGCCATCAAGGGTTTGTTGCTGTCAAGGTACGAGTGGCCGATGGTGGTCTTTTGCAACGCACTCAGGAATTGGTCGACTGCATTTGGTGGGTTCAGGGAATCTCTTTTCATTCCAACTTGAAGATTCTGCCTCTTGGAACTTATGACGCCATCTTGGGAATGGATTGGCTGGAATCTCACGGCCCTATGCAAGTCGATTGGAGGGAAAAAACCTTGCAGTTTCAGTATAATCAGCAGAGGGTGTGTCTTCGGGGTGTTCGCTCAGACGTCTCTCATTGTGCTGGAATGTCGGCCTCTCAGGTGAAGGGGTTATTGCACCATCACTCGGTATTACAAACAGTGGAACTCTGCCTTATTGAACAGGAGACTCTATGACCGGTTGTTCCATCAGTCATTGCTCAAGTATTGCAGGATTTTGCTTCTGTGTTTGATGAGCCTTCTGGTTTGCCTCCAGCTCGTGAATTTGATCATGCTATTCCTTTGACACCAGGAGCACAGCCGGTGAATTTGCGCCCTTACCGATACAATCCTGCCCAAAAAGACGAGATCGAGAAACAAGTGGCCGAGATGCTGAAAACAGGGTGTCATTCAGCCCAGTTCTAGCCCCTTTTCGTCTCCTGTCTTATTGGTGCTGAAGAAGGACCTTACTTGGTGATTCTGCATCGATTACCGACATCTTAACACTATTACAGTCAAGAATCGCTATCCTTTGCCCATTATTGATGAACTTCTTGATGAATTGGCTGGCTCAAGTCTGTTCTCTAGCTTGGATTTGCGGGCAGGCTATCATCAAATCCGTATGAGACCCGAAGACGAGCATAAGACAACATTTAAAACTCACAATGGCCACTATGAATTCCGTGTGATGTCTTATGACTTGACCGGAGCCCCAGCCACCTTCCAAGGATTGATGAACACTATTTTACCCCCCTTGCTATGCAAAGGAGTTCTTATCTTCATTGATGATATTCTTGTTTATAGCAGTAATCTGGAGGACCATGTGTCATTGCTTAAACAAGTTTTTTCAGCTTCTACAGAAACATCAATTGAAGGTCAAATGCTCCAAATGCACGTTTGCCCAGCCAAGTCTTACTTATTTGGGACATGTTGTCAGTGGGGCGGGCGTCTCTACAGATCCTAAGAATGTTCAGGCTGTTCAGCAGTGGGCTATTCCAAGCAATGTGAAGGAGGTTCGAGGTTTTCTTGGACTGGCAGGGTACTACCGGAAGTTTGTGCGCCACTTTGTTGTTCTCAGTCGCCCTCTCACCGACTTGCTTAAGAAACATGCTGTGTTCCTCTGGACAGCCAAGCACCAGCTGGCCTTTGATACTTTGAAAAAGGCATTGACATCGGCTCCTGTTCTGGCATTGCCCGATTTCTCCAAAACTTTTGAAATTGAGACTGATGCTTCAGATCGTGGAGTGGGAGCTGTTCTTATGCAAGCAGGTTATCCCTTAGCATATTTGAGTAAGGCTTTGGGTCCCAAGAATTGAGGTTTGTCCACATATGAAAAAGAATGCTTGGCTATTTTGTTGGCTGTCGATCATTGGCGTTCTTATTTGCAATTTGGAGAGTTCATTATCAGAACTGATCAGCGCAGTCTAATACATCTAGGCGATCAGCGTCTGGCCACTCCATGGCAACAGAAAGCCATGACCAAACTTTTGGGACTTCAGTATAAGCTACAATACAAGAAGGGCTTGGACAATAAGGCAGCCGATGAGTTATCTCGCTGTCCGCAGACTGATCCTATGCAAATTTGTGCTCTATCAGTTGTGGTACCCCTTTGGTTAAATGAGGTGCAGGAAGGATACAAGACTGACCCTGCTACCGAGCAATTGCTGACACAAGTGCTGCTATCTCCAGATCGGTATCCCCATTACACTTTGCAGCAAGGAGTACTTCGCTACAAAGGGCGTATCTGGGTGGGCTCTAATCCAGCTTTATAGCATCGCATTCTGACAGCCTTGCATGCTAGTGCAATTGGGGGGCACTCGGGCATTCAGGTCACATACAGTCAAGTGAAACGGCTGTTTGCCTGGATAGGTCTCAAGCGGGCAGTGCAGACTTTTGTGACCGATTGCGCCGTTTGTAAACAAGCTAAATCTGAAAGGGTGCGTTACCCAGGGCTTCTTCAACCTTTGCCCACGCCAGATCAGGCTTGGGAGACAGTGTCTTTGGATTTCATCGAAGGACTGCTCAAATCTTCGGGATTCGACTGTAATTTGATTGTCGTGGATAAATTCAGTCGATATGCCCATTTTCTGGGTTTGGCACATCCATTCACTGCCTTTGATGTGGCCTTGCTCTATCTGAACAATGTGTACAAGCTTCATGGACTTCCTCTGGCTATCATTTCTGACCGTGATCGTATTTTCACGAGTGCACTGTGGAATTGAGCTCTTTTGTCTGGCCGACACAACTTCAGATGAGTTCTACCTACCACCCTCAAACTGATGGGCAAACGGAGCGGGTAAATCAATGTTTGGAGACCTTTTTGCGCTGCTTCGTACATGCTTGTCCCAGCCGTTGGTCTCGCTGGTTGGCGCTTCCTGAATTTTGGTACAATACCGCCTACCATTCCGCCTTGGGTTCTTCCCCATTTAAGGTATTATATGGTCATCCTCCTCGTCATTTTGGTGTGTTGGACGGAGTGACCTGCGCTGTTGCTGATTTGGAAGAATGGCGCAAGGAACGTGCTATGGTGACGAGTTTGTTGTGTCAGCATCTCCTCCATGCCCAGCAACGAATGAAAGATCAAGTTGATAAACATCGCTCTGATAGAGTGTTCTGCATTGGTGATTGGGTGTTCTTGAAGGCGCAGCCCTATGCCCAGACTTCGCTGGCTGTCCGCACTAATCACAAGTTAGCTTTTCGCTATTTTGGCCCCTTTCAGGTGTTGGACAAAATCGGTGATGTGGCATATCGCTTGAAGCTTCCGGAGGACTGTACCATTCATCCGGTGGTGCATATATCGCAACTACGCAAGGCCGCTCAACCTTCTGCTGGGGAACCTATCCGACCGCTACCTACTCTGGAGCAAGACAGTCCAGTACCTACGCCGCGCGGTCAGACGGGGAGCAGCGACAATTGAACAAGTGAAAGTGTGCTGGTCTGGCCAAACTTCTGCTGAAGCTACATGGGAGGATGCTGCGGCGCTTCGCAATCAGTTTCCTGCTGCCCCGGCTTGGGGGCAAGCCGGTTCGCAAGGAGGGGGGGATGTTACACTTGCAGCTACTTCCACTGTACCCAGTCCAACAACTTCAGAGGAAGCGAACCCGGTTCGGCATCAGGTGCGACCGAGGCGGACGAGTCGTGCCAATGTTCGAGTAACAGGACCTGAATGGGCTGGATGGCAGCTGTAATCAGTGCAACTACATAAGCACTTGTGTAATAGGAGAAGGATATCGAACATTTGAACAATCAAACTATCTCCCTAATACAATCCTTCCTCCTGCCAACTCTCTTCTTCATGTTCCTTCCTCTGTTCTTCTCAAACCCCTCCTCTGTTCTTCCTCACCTACCCCTCTGATCCGAATCTCTCTATCGGTTCGTAATACAAACGTTGCCTCCACCGAAGCTTCCAACGACGCCGCCGCCGCCATGGGTTGGCAAATCTAGCGAAATAGTGGTGATACGAAAACACTGAAAAATCTGAAACCCAGCGCGACGGCACGCATTTGGTCATCCAAGTCGTCGTTGACATTTTTGTTCGTACGTTTTCTAGTCGATCGAGCAGAAAATGCACGATCACCAACGCGTTGATTCGTTGACATTTAAGGTGAGCATCACCACTTGCCTCTAATTAACTTTCTCTCTCAAGTTCCGTGCGTGCGCATCCTGCATGCCGCTATTGCTTATACAGTTATGCAGCGACCTAGCTAGCTACTCGTCACTACAAAAGGAAGGCTGCCATTGAAGCGAACTGCCCAGCATATTAACAGAGCCAGAGATAGCTAGCCAGACCCTTCTTCTTTTACCGTACTTGTCGGGTGTTTCATGCCGAGGTGCCTCTTTTGCCGTCGACGGAGAAGAAGGAAGGATTTCGGCATGAAGTTGTCAGAGCTAGGTAAGCCTGATGAGTACCTGTTCGTGTGGAGAGGAGAAATCGGTCGATTAGAGAATTTTGGGAGCGAGCGTGGGGGTGGCCGTGGCTCTTCTCCTGGCTTTGCGAAGTGGACCGTTCAAGAGCCGGCTGGGGAACGGTTTGATTGGTTGGAAACAGAGGGGTTCTACTGCTGCGAGGCACAAGGTGCGTAGTTAAAAAAAAAATAGCTCGGTCTACAACCGCTTGCAAAAAAAAAAAAATCACCTGAAATAACTGCTAAAAAATTTAAAATCAGTCCTTACAGATTCAATCGTTTCTATTCCCTCCATGCTCTGACTTTTTAAGTCAAGCTTCTTAAAATTTGATAAAGCTTAGAAAAACACCAAATTAGTTTTATTAAAACTAACTTTCAAATATATTTTGATAATATGTTTATTTTAGGTTAAAAATGTTGCTATTTTTTGTAAATTTTTTTCAACTTTGACTAGAAAAAAAGTTCATGTGACTTATAATATGAAACGGGGGAGTGCCTTATTTATAATTAATTATTTGCTAGATTTCATTCATATGACAATTCTTTTTTTTTTTTGACAATTCTTACTTTTGAAATCACCTACTCCCTCCGTTTCACAGTGTAAGTCATTCTAACATTTTCCATATTCATAGTGATGCTAAAATGATTCATTAATATCAATATAAATGTAAGAAATGCTAAAATAATTTACATTGTGAAACGGAGGAAGTAAATTACATCCTTCTAAGCTTTGAATTGCAGTGACATGAATATAGCTTTAGTAAACTGTACTGTGCTATATTAGTAGTATTGATATAGGAAAGAGAGGAGGGGGTAGGTGGGGGGGGGGGGGACAGAAAAATTCAGGCCGTTGGATTTATTTTAACGGTGAATGGAGGGGGCACGGCCAATCTCTGCCCCTTGCTACCTCCCGCGGCGCCGCCGCCGCCGATCAGCACCAGCCGAAGTCCAGGCAGGCGGCTCGCAGGAGCAGCTCAGCAGCGGCGAGGACCAAGTCGTCAAGTCGACGCGGAGGCAATGCACTAATGCAGAGGCCAAATCGAAGGAGGCGGCGGGGTAGGTCCTGCCGTGGAGGTCGAATCCCCGGAGGGGAACGAGCCGGCGAGGTGGGATTCGGCCGGCCGCATACACGCGCCTCCAAGGTCAAACCCTCATCTCTCGGTTGCTGCGAAATCTCTCCAATGCGTCTCATAATCTCCGTCCTGACCGGCTCCTGAGAAATGGTTGAAATCCGGTATAAAGTATGGAGAATTTCAGCATTCCAATCTAATCCTGCATGACGATTCTCATTTCTCAAGTCGTACAATAGAAATTTTGGAAATGTGCTAGTCGGAGATGATTTCACCTGTGTTACTTGTATTGCTTGTAGCAGTTATCCCTGCACATAACTCTATTGATGGTTAATAAGATATAAGCTCTTCTTCTAGTTTCAATTACACAGTCATGCTATTGATCTTCCTATGTACTGTTCCTTTGATGAATGATCAGTATGTTTGGCTTCTTTCAGTCCACTTTACAGGAAAAAGACTTGATGGCACTTGGTTTGCATCCACCAGAGAAGATGGTGTGCCTCTGACTTTTATATTAGGACAAGGTATAACTGTACACCCTGAATTTACCTTTTAGTAATTGCCGGGTTAATAAATCCATAACACACACACACACCACTCGATCAGAACCAACGGATTCAAAACTATGTAATGTTCATGGTACTTTCTATTTAACCAACCTATGGTATTCTTAATCTTCTTAGATATTGTAATGGCTGTGAAACCTTGTGAGTTGTGATCACAAAACTTATGATTAAACACCAGTATGCCACTAACCAGGAATCTTAGGGTTTTCTACATCCGTCGCCACAAAACCATTGATTTTGTGTAATTTACTCAAACAGTTACTCCCAGAAACTATTATGGAAAATGCATGTTTAGCACATGGGCCAAGTATAATTTATTTTTTTCCTTTTAGTTTGTGATAAATATTTAAATTGCTTCACCGAACTTATTTATCATTTTTTAATGAGTAAATTTCATAGAACTCCACCTATTGTGGTCCAAGTTGCACAAAACCACAAGGATTTTGGCATTTGGCACATAACTTGTATTATGGTTCTAAAGTTTCATAAAACCACACTGTTAACCAATTTGACATATTCCTATATCAAATTTTATAAAAGCTTTACTTATATCAACGTAATATGTATTATATTATAGATAAAGAATTCATAAATTTGGGATGTGATTGTAGAACTCAAAAGTGTGGTAGATGAAAGTTAAAATAATGAATAGTGTGGTTTTGAAAACTTTATGACCATAATACCTAGGGTTACTTGAAATTTACTCTTTTTTAATCCATCATGAAACTGTCATGTATGTAGTTTTATTGATCTTAATCTGATCATCTAGTCATATATTAATTGTTTTCTTTATATGGATTTGTTGATTTCTGTGTTGTATAAACTTCTCCACGGACCTATATGATCAAACAGCGGGATTTGTGTCAAGACTCTTGTTAAGGACTGAATCTTTTAAAGCAAAAGTGACTGTTAATTATTTGGTGTCTGACATTTTTGTTTCAAGCCATAAAAGATTCTAGTAGAATGCAGTAGATAACTAGATTACATGGCTCATCTTTCATGTGTCTTTGTTTTTCAAAAAAATCTGGCTCCTTGGGTGTTTGTACTACTGTAACCATACTTTTCTCAAAAACGAGCCACACTCCAATGAAATAAAACTAAATGCTGCTTATAGAGAATGTGATGCGAGGCTTCAGTATGGCTGTTAGCTCAATGCAAGCAGGGGAGAAAGCTGTGTTCACCATCCCTCCAGAATTAGCAGGCACCAAGTCTCGGTGTCCAGTTGATATCCCAGGGAATATTGCCCCCAATGAAGCACTGCGGTTTGATATTGAGCTCATCTCTCTTGTCACCATAACTGACATCCTCGATGATGAAGGCATACTGAAAAAGATCATCAAGCGTGGACTGGGGAGCGATAAGCCTTGTGATTTGGATGAAGCACTTGGTATGCAATACTACATTAGTTACTCCCTTAATCTCTCTGTTTTCTTTAGTTTTGAATTTGAGAAATTAATTGTGCCAATATTTTTCCATTATTTCTTCGATACTGCAACAGTGCCCGTGCTGTGAGTTCATTGAGCTAATACTTTTACATTTTCCTTTTCCTTTTGTAGTGAACTACAATGCTTGCCTGGAGGATGGGATGTCAGTGTCCATGTCTGAAGGTATTGAGTTCAACCTTGCGGAAGGTAAGAATATTTTTCCTTTACCATGATTGAATACACTTAACTATAGAAGTATTATTTTACTATGTCAGTCTAATAGAATTGTAAAATCCAGGCTTCTTTTGTCCTGCATTTGCACGTGCTGTGGAGACTATGACAGAAGGAGAGGAAGCTGTTCTCATTGTTAAACCTGAATGTAAGCTCCCCTCCTTGTATGTAACCTTCTAGTAGTTGAGTAAAATTAACAATTTGTGTCTTCTCATGCAACTTATATCTTGTAATAAATTCAATAGTCAAAGCAGATAGTGGCAACTAAATAGTCAACAATCATCATCTCAAATCTTCCTTTCTTTGCGTGCATGCATGCATTAGGAATATTTACAAGCGTGTCTTTCCATGTGTCATTTTTTGAAGAATACACTCATCAATTAATCTTGTAGTTAATATGTATTCGTTGGTGCTCTCTTTCTCTTGATCCCTAGATGGTTTTGGTGAACGGGGTAGACCATCCATAGGGGATGAAGCCGGTGTGCCACCTGATGCAACTCTCTATGTGTACCTTCAATTGATGTCATGGAAAACAGTGAGGCACATTGGAGAGAATGGGACAATCCTCAAGAAAACCCTTTGTAGAGGAAATTTGGAAGGACAGCAGACAGAGAATGAAGCAGTGGTCGGAGGTACCTTCAAGTTAGCTCCTAATCTGAAATTCTGAAGAACATATGTAGGCATATAGCTCATTACCTCTTGCTTGCATATCAATATTCCTAATGTTCGTTTGCAATGGCAGTTCGACTGATTGGTAAACTGCAAGATGGGGCTGTATTTGATCAGAGGGGCCACGAAGGAGATGAGCCGTTCAAGTTCATGGTTGACGAAGGTTGAATTTCTACAACTCGACTAACTAAAACTTGCTTGTTTCTGATAAGTGTCAGCTATTACTTTTGAAATGCAGAGCAGGTTAGCGAAGGCCTAGAGGAAGCTGTTCTTACAATGCGGGAGGGAGAGGTCTCCTTGTTCACCATTCCCCCCCATCGTGTGCAGGATCAACTTTTGGTTGTCCCTGTTGGCTCTTCCGTGACCTACGAAATCGAGCTTGTCTCAGTTGTAAATGTGCGTATATCACTTGACTTAGTTGCCATGATGTGAAAAATTCTATATTGTTAATGCGTGTATGCAGCTTGAGTTAGTTTCCATGATTTGAAAATATAGAACCAATCTTTTGGAAACTCTACATGACATATTGGATCTGAATTAAATTTAGGACAAGCCTCCCCGGCTCATGAGTCAAGCAGAGACCATCGAAGCTGCAGCTGAAAAGGAAAAGGAGGGAGACAAACTGTTCAGCTCAAGCAAATTTTTGAGAGCTTACAGGAGATATTACAAGGTAGTAAATAATTTAAAGATGCAAAAAAAGAGGCATTAGTGTTTTTCCCGGAAAAATATGTAGCATTTTTTCTCCCAAGTGACAAACATATTATATGCATGCCACAAATGTTCAGACTGAATCTGAAAATCTGTTTATTTTGTTTGAAGGCCAGGCAGATCATACTCCTGCGCTTTGGACGAGGAGAAACAGATGAAGAAATTAAACAAATGTTGATTTCCCTTACCTTCAAAGCTGCTGAGTGCGCGAATCAGCTTCAACGCTATGAACAAGCATACCACCGCTATCGTGAGGTGCTTCTATTAACAAGAGAATATTCCTTTCCCAAATGTTACATGGTCCAATTGGCATTCATTGGGCGCTTTTTGCCACTGTTAATCATACGCTAGCCTCCTGTACACACCTATGAGCTTATTTTTTACAATCAAAACAGATATTGGAGTATGACCCTGGAAATGTGAAAGCACGGGAAATGACAGGGCGGGCATTCCCTGAAGCATCTCTTGGAATAGACACTGCCGCAATGCATAGGGGCTTGGATCAGGTACTTTTTTTTATTGTTGTTGTATATCTTTTATACAAACCGCTAAATAATAGAGGACTGCTATATACCGGAATCCCGTTCATAAACGGGATGATACCGGTTAGGTATCAGATCCTGATACCTAACTGGTATCATGCGATTCTACCACGTGTTAGGTGATACTTGTGAGGTATCAGATGATACTTATTAGGTATCATGCGATTCTTACCACGTAGAAGGTGATACCTGTGAGATATCAGGTCCTGATACCTAACCGGTATCGGGTGATACTTATCAGATATCATGTGATTCTACCAGGTATTAGGTGAAACTTGCGAGGTATCAGATGATACCTATCAGGTATCATGCGATTCTTACCACGTAGAAGGTGACTTGCGAGGTATCAGGTCCTAATACCTAACCGGTATAGGGTGATACTTATAAGGTATCATGCGATTCTACCACATATCAGGTGATACTTGCGAGGTATCAGATGATCCTCGTCGTCTCCACTGCACCGCATGCCCATTCCTCCCCCCTCCCCGCGGTGCTCCACCACCAGCAATGCATCGGCACCCCAGTAGCAGGAGGAAGGATCCCTTGGAGTACAAGGAGTACATCGTCCTCCTGAGGCTGTGGCCGGACGCCGCCACCGCTGGCATGGACGACGACGGCGCGCAGCGGAGCTAGTACATGCCCTTCCTCCCTGGCAACACCACCGCCGGCGGCAAGCCGCGGCTAGTTCGCTCGTACAAGCACGTCGTTGACGGCTTCACAGTTGTCGCTGTGTCCAAGGAGCCTGATTTCCGACGCTGCTTCCAGGACGGCATCGCTTGCTTGCATTGTTGGTTTAAGCAGGAAGGAGGATGGCAACCTTGCTGGATCCGGCCATGGCGACAACGCGCTGCGCGCGGCGGCGAGAGCACCCGAGGCGGAGCTGCGGCGGATGCGTCGGGGCAGCGGCGTTGGCGACGCGCCGCCTGCGTGGCGGAGATCGGTGAGGTGGGAGGACGCGAGGGATATGACGGCGCCGCCATTCTCTCTCCAATCCAATCCCTTCATCTCGTGCTGCAGGGTGGATGACACGGTGGACGAAAGGGGATCCTGTCCCGTCCCGACGGGATCCTGTTGTTTAGCATTTCTGAAATAATAACCTTTCGGTTAATAATGTTATCCTCAAAACATACTTTTCGCCGGGCCAGCAAAGACGCCAGTCGAAATCTTATTAGAGTAAGTTTAATAGTATAGCCAACTATTAGCTCCAAATCATCTATAGTCGATTTAATAGCCAATCCATACAATAGTTATCTATAAACATGTTACACTATTAATATATGGTCCTGCCTATCATATATACATTGTGTCTTGGAATCCGTGCTGTAGCTGGCTACAGATCTATAGCCCACTGCTCTCCTCTCCTCTTTTATCTCCTCGGTATGTGTTTAGATATGTGTTTATAGCTGGCTTGTACCTGCTCTTAAGAGAGAGAGAGAGAAGGGGGGGGCAATAGGGTGTTGGCCTGGGTACAAACGTCGACCCTCGGGCGACATGCTAGAGCTCAACAACACAAATTTTACACCAATTTGTTGATCAATTGAAAATATAGCCCTCAAAACGCACTGTTATGCTTAGATTGGGTTTGGCCCTTCAGGGCAGAAACAGGCCACACCACAGGGTTGGGCTCCTAGGTTGAGCTAGTTGTTCGAACGGTTTTAAAAAACAGAAATTTGCTGTCAGCAAAACACTTGAGAGGATGGTATCCATATATGCTTACATCTACTTATCACCTATCGTAGCCGTTTTGACCGAAAGAAGACCATGCTCTTTCTCCCATGTTTCGTGGCATGTCTAGTAGGTTTGTACGATGAAACGTTTCTCTCCTGACTCCTAACGTTTTTTAGCGATGAAACGGTTCCCTCCCTTATTTAGCCCATATCCAAAGCCCAATCTCCTGACGTGCTGGTCTGCTCTCTCGTTGGCACGCTTGCATAGCCAACCAAAGCACTTTCTTTCTAATTATATATTAAGCAATTTTAGTCCTAATTGTATCTTATATAGTAATTGTACTTAGCGCTCATTTATCATGTGGCAGGTTAAGCAAACTACTCATACATATATGTTCCTTGCACCTTGGACAGGGATAGCATCAACCCTAGTTGGAAGTAGATTCTAATGGCCACAATCAGAATTGGATGCAGACAAAGTTCATATATGAACCAATGTCAAACAGGGTTTGCATATGTTTAGATACATAGAATTTCTAGAGACAAACTTAAAGCCAAAGTATAGTACTGCTTAGCACATTAATTGATGTCACATGCTGATGAAGCAGAACTTGTTCAAACATTCCACTCTTCAGATTAGATAGTAAATTTAGTTCGATCAGTTAGAAAAAATCATGAGATAGAAGGTCCAAAATATCTTCTTTTCCCTTCAGATTAGATAGTAAATTTAGTTAGATTGAATACTAACTGATAGATCGTGCTAACATAATCTCAAGTATAGATATAATCCTCAAGTTAGATGCAAAGAGGTTAATTGGGCTTTAGGGCCCATGAGCGCTCCGGAGTCCTCACTACCGTGTGTGCGTGCGCCGTGCGTTCGCATTAGGTTTCCCTGCCGTCCGCGCCGTTGCGTTTGATCGTACAAAAATCGGAATTAAAAATCGTATGCATAGCATTTTCCTATCGGTATGTATTATTCAATGGCGTTGTCCAATTTATGATCGCACACAACGCCACTTTGGATTTTTCGGATTACTCTACAATTTAAATACTTATATTTGTTTTGGACGTGTGGAAGTTTAAGCAGACTGCTCACATTTTTCTTTTCCTTTAGGTGAACTACTACGTACATGCAACTCAATAAAATGTTCTTTTTGTTTTCTGAACTTGACGCTTTGAAATACTTGTAGCTCACCATGTGATTGAGGTATGTTCCAAGGACAGGAACTGCCGAACTGAAACGAGCAATGCTATAACTTCAATCAGGCAGTCATTCCATCAGAAGCATTCAATGAAAAGCCCAAAATGATGATTTTTTTTTCTTGTGCAGCCATTTAGGCCGAAAGAAGAGTTTCGCGTGTGCGGCGGCTACATGACCCCGGAGTTCTCTGAGATGAGACTGAAGCAAGGGCATAAATACCATGGAAGTATAAATATTTTTGTCCCTCCTATCCCAAGACCAGAGACCAATGCAAATCAAGCTGTTCCAGCTGCTCCTACAGGCCACAGGCTCACACACAGCCCTACTACACCTCCAGGTCCAAATAATGAGAAAAGAAACAGAAGCAGTCGTGTTCCAGTCGCTGCCAGGAAGGGGCTAGCTTCTTGCTTCAGATGCATCTCTTCAGATTGTAACTGAAGACATGTTCCCTGAAAGCAATAAAGAAAAAAAATCTTGACCAGCAACAGGGCTGTACTAACACTAGTTTATTTTTTTTCGAACTAATAATTTAACTTAGGTCGAAATTAATGACGATTCTATGGACACAACCCAACGGTGGAGATGGCCTGAAGAATAGAACGAAACACCCAAAATTTCATACATGAATATGTTCCCTAGGTTCATAAGGAACAAATATTTCTGATGTAAAATCAGTAAGGAAATTCAGTGCAAAATACTAGTAGGCGTCTAGTTGCGTCAAGAACATAAGAAAACGTTGTTTTGGGTTGGAGAGATGTTCAGCAAACCCGGTTGAAAGAGATGCTAAGTAGAGGAAGAGGTAGAAATTAGGCAAAATTGGTTATATAGCATTGAAAGTTCACGCTTTTAGGCCCCCTTTGAATCGCAGGGTAGAAAAAACGGAGGAATAGGAAAAACACATGATTCTGACAGGAATTGAAGTGTAAAACAGAGGATTGCAAAACACAGGAAAAATACAGGAATTGTCGTTTGATTGGAGCGCAGGAAAAACACAGGAATCGGATGAGAGAGATAGACTCAAAGGAAATTTTCCAAGAGGTTGGAGCTCTTGCTAAATTTCCTCCAAAATCTACATGCAATGTGCCATTCCATAGGAATTTCATAGGATTTGGAAAGCTTCAATCCTTTGAATCAAAGGGCCAAATAGAAAATTTTCCTATATGATTTGAATCCTATGAAATTCCTACATAAATCCTTTGATTCAAAGGAGGCCTTAAGTTTATAGCACCGAAAGATACCGGTTCACTTTAATAACACCTAAAGTTCACCCTGTTCCCATGCATTTTTAACGCTTCCGTCAATTCTCGGTCGTGCCTTTGTGCCTGGAATTTTTGAGAATGTTTCCTAGTGTTTTTGTGCCTGCTCTCAGTTTGTGCTAGTACCTGGTCCTGGCCAGTCTTTTACTCTTTTAGTCTCTCGCTTGATTTGTTTTGATTTTCCTAACTAAAACAACATTCTTCTAGGTACGGAGGAAGTACTATTTCTATGTTCTCAAGTGTTTAACTGATAGCCAAAGATTTAAAAGGTTTATCCAAAATCCAGAGGCAGTGTTTGGTTAAAGGGATAGGGAAATGATTTCCCACCCACCAAAAGACATATTTAAATCCTAACCATTCATTCTCCCTTTTCCATTTAATTCTAACCCTTCATTCATTTCCCAATCTCAATCCCACTCCTCATTTCCCATTATCCAAACACACCCAAAGAGTACTCACAAGTTACAAATCTTTTATGTAACTAGCGAGGAGGATGGGGCGCGACGTTGTGGGGCGGCGCGAGCGCGGCGTGGGTGGGGGGCACCGATATTTTTTCACTAATTGCGGATCGCGATCCGGAGGAGTCGTGCGATGGTGGCGCGGAGGAGGAGCACGATCCTGCAGCGTCCGGCGATAACCCGTCCCGCGCGATCTGTTGCTAGCGCGGTGGAACAGCCGTTGGTAGGGAGAAGAGGGATGCGGGAGCAGGTGGTGGGGGCACCGTGGGAGGAGCCACCCAATGACGACGACCTAGAGCCGACGGCGACGTGGAGTAGGCGTCGGCGACGGGGGCAGCCAGGGAGGAGGAGGAGTAGGCGTCGGCGGCGGGGAGGAGGAGGAGTAGGAGTCGGCCTGGCAGGGGGATCTGGAGTGGGCTCGACGGGAGGGGATTCGGCGTTGGTTGCGGGTGGGTGGAGGATTCAGCGTCGGTGGTGGGTGGGCGGAGGAGTAGGCGTTGGTGGTGGGTGATGGGGAGGAGGAGGACACGGCGGCGGTGGACAGAACGGCGCGACCGGTGTTGGGGACAGTGTCTAGGGTTTTGGAGTCCGCCGCGAGGAGTCCTCCCTGCGCCAGCGGTGGTTTGACGGAGGCGGTGGCAGTGGGGACTGGATGGAGTGGGGGAATGGGGTGGAGGGAACGGGCGACGAAGCGGGCACCTCCCAGCGCTGGCGACGACGACAGCGACTGCGGATGCCCTCCCCGCGCCAGCAGAGGAGATTAGCAACGTCGTCGGTTGGATCGGAAGCCGGAGTGCGCCACGCAGAGTCCTTGCGCCAGCGGCGGGGGACTGGACGACGTGGGGGAATGGGGCAGGGAGCGGCGGAGACGAGCGGTGTCAACATTTGTGGTGTAGGGGGTGCGGCGGAGACGAGCGCGTCGGTGGTTGGTGATGGGGGCGAGGTAGGAGGAGCGATGGAGTGATGGGGGCAGACGCATAGGAGGGGAGCGCGTGGGATATCGGAAGCGTTGGATCTCACGATCCTACGCTTAGTATTACGTGTGTATGTCAGGGTGAGTCACTGCCACCACTATGGACTTTTTAAGTAGTACTCCCTCTGTTTTAGCTTATAAGACGTTTTGATTTTGGTCAAAGTCAAATTATTTCATGTTTGACTAAGTTTATAGATAAATATACTAATATTTATAATAGTATATTAGTTTCATCGAATCAATAATTGAATATATTTTCATAATAAATTTACTCCCTCCGTCCCCTAATATAAGGGATTTTTTTATTTTGCTTGCACTTTTTGACCATTTATTTTATTAAAAAAATTTTGGAATTATTATTTATTTTATTTGTGACTTACTTTATTATCAAAGTAATTTAAGCACAACTTTTTATTTTTTATATTTGCACAAATTTTTTAAATAAGATGAGTGGTCAAATAATGCAAGCAAAATATCAAAATATCTTATATTAGAGGACGGATGTAGTAATACTTTTCTCTACGAACTTAATCAAAATTAAAGCAGTTTGACTTTAACCATAGTCAAAATGTCTTATACCCTGAAACAATGGGAGTAGAGATTTTACAACTCTCAACTGTGTGATTGTGCTTAATTACCAAATTCACCCTTTTTTCAATGGAAACATGGTGAAGTAGGTCTGCATAACTGCGAGCACGACGGCGACTGCGGCGGCGACGAAGGAGATGGCCGACCACGGGCTGGCGAAGTAGTCGCGCCGGAGCGCCGCCGTCTTCCTCCGCCACCATGTCCCGCAGTAGCGGTCCACGTCCTTGTAGAGCCCGACGAAGGCGTGGCTGTCGTGGTTGACGGCGCCACAGTCGCCGAGGTGGTTGAAGAACCGGGCGGCATCGTCGTCGTTGGCCAGCATGTTCTCCAGCACGCCGCGCCGGCGGAGCAGCGCGACGTCGCGCGCCGTGACGATGAGCTGGCCCATCAGCGCCACGTAGCTGCTGAGGAGGATGGCCTCGTCGTTGCCCAGGCTCTGCTCGAACGCGATCAGGTTCGCGAGCAGCGGCGTCTTCGCGTCGTCGATCAATATGGTGGGTATCTCCATGACGCCCCTAAGGGAGTCGAACACCACGTCGTAGCCGTTGTCTGAGTTCCGCCGCACGGCGAAAGTCACCCCGGCTTCGCTCATCTCGACGGCGCACGGTAGCACTCGCGGCGCCGTGGTACTCTGTTCTTGCTGCGGCGTCCGCTGGCTCTGGGGCACGAAGCTCTCGTAGTACAGGTGTAGGATGTGATTGACCTGCCCGTTCGGCCATCTGATTGGAACTTGACGGCCGGCGATGTACTGAAGGAGAAGCTGGAGGAGGTTATTTCCGGCCTGGCCATCCTGTTCGCCAAAGGCGGTAACATATAACTTCTTGAGGACGAAGAACGGGAGCTGATTCTCCATAAGGAGCAAATCGGAGATGACGAACGTGAGGCCCCAACCAACGTCGCATAGCACATCGGGCTGATTTCTGCGCCACTTACGGAAGAACTCGAGGATGAAGCATCCGTCCAGGAGGAGCATCTGGACGAAGTCGTCGGAGCTGAGGTCGACGGGTTGCTCGCTGTAGCAGGCGCGCGCCTCGGCCTCGAGAGACCGCATCTTCTCAACCAAGGCGGATGCGGAGAGTCCGGAGACAAGGGGTGGAAGTGGAACGCGATGGTTGGGTTCCGGCGGTCCTTGCGGAGACAGCAGGTCGTGGAGGTAGCGCCACTTGTGGTCCTCCATGGCGCGGAGCGCGGCGGCGCCGTGGTAGTAGGGGCCGATGGACACCAAGCGCGGCTCGTAGGAGGTCCGGCTGCTCTCGCGAAGAAAGGCGGGGACGCGGAAGATGGTGAACGTCTGATTCGTTCTCGATTGGACTCCTCTTAGAACACTCAACCTTGCCTCCACCATATCTTCCAACCGCGCCATGCTTGCAACTCACTGGGAGAAATACAACAGCTTTCTCCTAAAATATAAAGTCACTGGTACTTAGCTTGATGTTAATACTTATTTCGTTAGTTGAGATTTATAGCACTAGGTGATATCTAATTAAATACTATGTTGCTAGTACATTTTAGGATGGACAAAAGTTTGTTTAGTTTCATAATCAGAAATGAAGTTAATCTATCTATTAACTTATCAAAGGAATAGAAAAAGAACCCTCCACGTTCGCTCTCATAGCCTAGAAATTCTCACATTAATCGGAGAAAAAGAAAAAATAGAGTCCATATAGAAATACAATTTAAAAATAGTTTAAATTCGGAATTAGAAAATAAGAAATATTAAAAAAGAGACTGAGGCCATATAGGAATACAATATAAAGCTAATTAAAATTCAGAATAAAAAAAGGAAAACATAGTCTATACATGAATACAATTTAGAAATAATGGAAATTCGAAATCGGAATTAGAAAATAAGGAATATTGGAAGAGGAGACTAGAGTCTATATAGGAATACAATTTAAAGCTAACTAAAATTTGGAATAAAAAAAGAAAACATAGTCCATATACGAATACAATTTAGAAATAATGGAAATTCGAAATTAAAGATAAGGAATATTGAAAGTTAAGTTTAGAGTACATATAGAAATACATATAAAATTTACATATAATTGAAATTCGGAATTAAAAAATAAGAAAAATTAAAAGTAGAATTTAGAATCCATATAGAAATACAACTTAGAAAAAACTAAAATTCGAAATTTAAAAATAAAAAATATTAGAAAAAGAGTCTAAAGTCCATATATAAATACAATTCGGAAATAACTGAAATTCAAAATTAAAAAGAAAGAAATATCGAAAGATGAGTTTAGAGTCCATATAATAAAAATACAATTTATAAATAAGAGAAATTAGGAATTAAAAATAAGAAATATTAAAAAAGGAGAGTAGAGTTTATATAGAAACACAATTTAGAAGTAACTGAAATTCGAGATATTAAAATAAGGAATATGGAAAGAAGGGTTTAGAGTCCATATTGAAATAAATTTGTAAATAACATGACTTCGGAAAATATAAGAAATATTAGAAGATAAGTTTATAGTCTATATAGGAATAGAATTTAGAATTAACTAAAGTTAGAATTTTAAATAATTAATAAATATCACGTATACAAAATACAATATGAATATTACACATCAGTTTGGTCAAGTCAGTACAAAATTAAAAATTATGTTATCATTTTAATATATTTTAATAACAAAGTATAAAAATATATATGCTATTATTTAAAAAGATATAACGATACTAGCCGCGCAATCTATGTGGGCCACCATGCTAGTTGTAACGAAGACACTAGTATCATGTGCATGAAGAAATTGGATGGGGAGACTTCGTGATAAGGGAGCAAGTGGCTAACCCATAAATCCATTTGTAAATTAAAATATGCTATAATTTTACTTATGTTGATTTATAATGGGTTCACGTGTTAACCACTTATACCCCTACTTCCCGATTTTCATTCAGTTTAGCTGTTGAGGTAAGGCTGTTTATGCCTCGCTTTCGCGTGATTGCCAGGGATGAAGTAGTCCACTTCACTGGTGTCCACTAATTTTAGTACCTTGCGTATGATAAAATTTGCATTTATGGGTTATTTAATCTTATTCAACATTACTATATATTCATAAAATAATTATTTTATTATCGAAACAAACATGGAGGTAAAAACTATTATTTTATTATTGTAGAGATGTTCGACGGAGGAGTCGTGACCACCACGGGCTAAATTCACGTGTTTGTAGTTACGTACACATGGATATTGGAAGCTCATTGATTTATCACCAAATATACGTAATAACTTTAAGCTTTGCGTGCATTAAGAGGGCCGTACTTGTGGGTATGTATATACAGTGTGCATCTTCCAAGTATATAATGAAGAAAAAGAATAGGATCGAGCATATCGATGCAAGTATCTTCCACAGAGACCACGTACCATTCACGTAGAGTAAACTAGCTAGGTGGACGGCACTTATATAAAATTATCTATTTTTACACATATTTTTTTTTAAAAAAAATATTAAATAGACATATCGTTGTCTTATATTTTAAAAACAAACCTTATCAGCATCGGGTTTTTTATTTTTATAATTTTTAAAAGTCACACTGGTCACCACCCATCCCTTTATTTGCTTGTCCAGTCAGTCTATCACGGCTTCTTTTCATCTTCATTAAAATCTATAAAATTCGTCGGACATTAAAATATATTTTTGTCTCGACCGGCGAATTTTATAGATAAAATCAAACCTTATATTTTTGGGTTAATTGGATCTATGCCATTGCAAATTTGCCTCGTTAGAAAATACCATTACAATTCGTCTATTCGTAGCCATGCCGCTAGAATTTTATAGAATTATAACCACGCCATCACCATCACATTTTTCATCGTTTTCTCCATCTATACATGGGGCCTACCTGTCAGAATCATCTTCATCCTCCATCCTCCCCTATTTTCTTTTTTCCTCATCTCTCTCCATTGCGCAGCATCTTCCTCCTCGTCCCACACCTCCGAGGACTATGACGACAAGGCGTTGACCGGAGCAGAGCCGATCCGGCGACGGGTGGTTGCTTCCTCCTCGGCGGATGCCGCTGCCGTCGGTGCCCCTGCACGATGGAGGCGAGCTCGACATCGACATCGTCCTCCCCTAGGTCATCGCACCGTCGCCCTTCTCCGCTCCGGCAGGTAGCAGCAAGCACCTTATCGTCCATCTCCTCGTCACCGAGGGGGAGGGGGGCGGCCCTCGACACCTCGTGTCTCCTGGACTTCCCGCCGCTGGCCAGCCCCTCGGCGGCCGCACGCTGCGAGCACCCCGTCGAGGCCGGCAGCACCCCATGGCCGACCCCCAACCTGCTCCGGCTTCGTCGTCGACGCCGCACTGCCATGAAGGGATCTGGGCCACCTCTGCATGCGTCCTCGCCGGCTCCGCCTCACCACAGCCAATCCGTGGACCCCGCCTCGGCCAACCATCGTCACTCGGCGTCGGACCTCGTTTCCTACCACCACCGGCGGGTGGCCCGACCTCCAGATCCACGCCGCCCTGCTTCCCCTCCTCGATGAAGCGCCGGATCCGCGATTTCTCCTTCCCGTCCCGTCATCGGCGCGGAAGAGGATACAGAGGGACCCATCTCCGTCGGCTACTCCTCCGCCTATGCTGCCGCCGCCTAGATATCTTGTGGCCACCGCCGCCGCCTATGCCCACCACAATGCCGGGAGCTAGAGTCTGTTCCGCCGCCCTCGCCTCCACCAGAACCGCCACCGCCTAATGTTCGTTGCAAGGAAGAAGACGCGAGAAGAAGGAAGAAGACGGAAAAAGGAATGAGTTGATGGAAAATGTGACGGCAATGGCACGGTTCTAATTTTGTAAAATTTCAATGGTATAGCTATAAATAGACAAATTGTAATGGCATTTTTCTGATAGGCAAATTTGCAATGGCATGATCCAATTAACCCTATATTTTTTGTGCTCTTGGAATTGTAATGCCACCGGGCATGACAGTGTTGACCCCGGTAAAGAAATCACAACTACACAACTACATAATTGATTTTCGTGGACGAGGCCAACCTCCAGCCTCTAGGCTGACCATAACATCATCCACTTGCGATAATATCGATCCCGAAGGAAAACAAGATCCACATGCAAAAAATCAATTTTCTCATGCGAGCCAACTTAATAGGCCCTCCAGCGAAAATAACTTATTTCACAAGCGGGCCTGTTAAGTGGCATGCCTATGCCACTAGCCCACCAGGCCGACGACTGTCGACGTCTGATATCGCGATTCCGGTATTTGCATAGTATGGGGATCGTTGGTACTAGCATATATATATATGCGAGACTGAGGTAAAAGAGACGGAGATGAGGATTTTTATACAGGTTCGGGCCCCTGAATTATCAGGTAATAGCCCTACATCCTGTTGGCCGAAGCCGGTCGTTGCTCTTATTCACCATAATCAAACTAGTACAATATTTGGGGTAGCCTATCTAACTATTGTCGACATGGCGGTCTGAAGGTCTAACTCATAGTCGACAACAGGGTAGTCTTTCTCCTCGAATCCGTGCCCGGCGATATCAGAGACAGTGCATTCGTCTCTCCTGACAGTATCCGGAGACATTGTAGGGGACTAGCCGTGCTTATCCCTGAAGTCGATATCCGGCATCTTGTTTTGGCGTATGTTGGCTTGTATGTTATAGCTTCTGTTGTTCCGTAGATTATGGTGGGTGTTGATTGTGTCTTCGTATCCCCTCTCCTCCTAGGGGGCCATCTATTTATACCCATAGGTGTCCCCTTGTCCAAGTAGAACTAGGGAAACCAATATGGATACAATCCGAGTAGTCCTTGTCGTTTCCATGTAGAACTAACTCTGGTTGTCTTTCCTTATCCGGAACTCCCTCGATGTCAGTTTCCGTATAAGACATGGTATGTGGTGGATCCTGCCGAGATTTAGTCAACTACTATTAGGTATGTGGTATCCATAACCCTGACAGTAGCCCCCGACTTCAATGCAAATAAACGAATTCATATTCTCAACCGCAGACCCTGGAGTAACTGTTGTCGTGCTCACGTGACCATTCTTGGTGAGTAACGTTAGACTTCCCTTATCAGCCTCGTGCGGGCACCTATAGGGTTTGTCTGAGTCAATCTCCGATGTCAACCAAGAAAGTACAGAGCATACAACTAAGTCTCATATCTTGCTGTAATCGAGAATTTGGATTGAAGTCAAGAAATTTTATCTTGGCGGGTACACCATCTCTTCAATCCGTATTCCTTGTCGAGATCCACCAACCGTTCTCGAGTGATCGAGAAGGTGTAGAATATGCGATGAATCCTTGTCAACATTTGTCGTACTCGCCTTAGTCGATCTTGGTGTAGAACCATAGAGACATGAAGTCTTCGACAATGTCGAATAGAATTTTCCTGAAATCAATACTCAGAAATGAGTATTAGATAGAAATAGCCCCCGAGCAAATGCTCAAAGGGTGACATGTTATAATATGTATGGAAAACTGAAAATAAATTAAATTTACAGACCAATGTTTTGTATATGAGCGTTTTCTCT